GTTGAATGTAAAACTGATGGTCTGTCCTGTAAACTTTCCAGAATCTTAGTTTCTAAAAATAATTCCCCATTAAAAGGAATGAAGACTCCTTGAAAAAAAGAATGTTTCTAAGTCTGGAGCAATGAAATCGAAAATAAGTCATAACATTTCTGTTGTGTCAGAGAAAAAAGAAGAGTTCAAAAAATGTGATGGGAGTAGGTCAAAACACACAAAAGGTATCTAGCATAAGCTTCTAGTGTCCAACCTGGGACAATCTGATCACCAGAATAAATAAGGGCAGTTGTTGTTGTTGTTGTTGTTGTTAAGTGCTGTCAAGTTGGTTCCAACCCATAGCGACCAGCTTATTATTCACTGAACAAAATGAGAATGAATCTGAATTGATGATAAATAAATGAGGAATAGAGAGCAGCTCAAATAAAAAGACATTCTATAAAATAACTCACTGGTATTCTTTCATGTCAACAGCATGAAAGACAAAGGATAAAGAACCATTCTAGATTGGTGGTAGTGGTGGGTGTGTGCCATCGAGTCGGTTCTGACACACAGAGACCTTGTATAGGGTTTCTGAGGCTGTAAATCTTTATAGGAACAAAAAGCCTTATCTTTCTCTCATGAAGCATCGAGCATATTCAAACTTCTGACCATGTGATTAACAGTCTAACTTGTAATCCACTACAGCGATAGGAGGACTCCATGAGTGGTGCAAATGGTTAACACGCTGGGTTGTTAGCCAAAAGATTAGAGATTTGAGTCCACACAGAGACACCTTGGAAGAAAGAATTGGCAATCTATTTCCAAATAATAAGCCAATGAAAACCCTATGCAGTTTTATTCAGACACACAAGCAGTAGGCATCAGTCAAAATCAAACTATGGCTGGTAAAGCAATATTACAATTCAATGTGATTATTAATTATTAATACATACTGCCTTTGTCAAAGACCTTGAGCACTGTGGGATGACAGTAGTTCAACACTAGGAAAACATCAATGTAATCTACTATGTATATAAAAATAAAATGTAAAAGAACCACATGATCATATTGACTGATGCAAAAAACGCACTTGACAAAATACAACACTCATTCTTGATAAAAACACTCAGCAAAGTAGAAACTGAAATGAAATTCCTAAGCATAATTAAAAGTATATATACAATGCAACAGTCAACATTACTCTCAATGGAGAGAAATTGGAAGTATTCCATTTATAAATAGAAACCAGATAAGGATGCCCTTTATAACCACTTCTATTCAGTTCTGTGTTAGAAGTCTTATCCAGAGGTGTAGGGCAACAAAGGGATATTAAAGGCACCCAGATTGGTAAGGAAGAAATAAAATTCTCTGTGTGCAGATGCTATGATTCTATACATAGAAAATCCGAAAGACTCAGAAAGAAAATTATTGGAACCCACTGAAATATTCAGTAGAGTGGCATAGTACAAAAGCAATATTTAAAAAAATCAGTTGGTTTCATCTACACTAATAAAGACAGCTCTAAAAAGGAAATTAGGAAAATACAATTTACAAAAGATGTAGTACTACAAAATAGGAAATACTTAGGAATAAACCTAACCAGAGAAACAAAAGATCTATACAAAGAAAACTACAAAACACTTCTTTAAGAAACCAAAAAAGATTTACAAAAATGGAAGAACATATCATGCTCATGGATAGGAAGACTTAATATTGAGAAAATTATCAATACTACCCAAAGCAAACTATAGCTATAATGCAATCTCAATTCAAATTTCAACATCATTCTTTAAAAAGATAGGAAAAATAATCACAAACTTTATATGGAAAGGAAAGAGAACTTGGATAAGCAAGGCACTGCCGAAGAAGAACTAAGTTGGAGGCCTCTAATTTCCTAATCTCAAAATTTACTACAAAGTCACAGTGGTCAAAACAGCCTGGTACTGGTTCAATGACGGATAGATACATAGATCAATGGAATGGAATTGTGAACCCAGAAGTAAATCCATCCACATACAGTCAGCTGATCTTTGGCAAAGGCCCAGAATACATCCATGGAGAACTAGTCTCTTTAACAAATGGTGCTGGCAAAACTGGAAATCCGTTTGTAGAAGAATGAATCAAGACACCTATCTCCCAACATATACAAAAACAAACTCTACAT